ATGCCCTTTGCCTCCTAGCTCGTTTCTCTATTTCCTTTTACTTTCCTCTTGTCCCACTATCATGTTCAGCCTTCATTTGGGTTTCAGTAATTCCTCTGTTACATTACCTCTGGTCACACCCTACCAGGTCTCCTAGGTCCTCCTCACCCATCTGTAGTCCATTGGACATCCCCTTACAGAAGGGTCACAAGGAAAAGACAAGCCAGTCAGGGTGCAGTATAGCACCGATGAAATATACAACTTTCCTCTAGTTCTTTAATGCTTCCTCCCTACCACTATCATGACCCCAATTCTACCTTACAATTCCAGCTAGACCAGAGCATGTACAGAGCTGGAAACACAAGGAATCCAGGACAAATAAACCTCCTAGGATCAATAATGAGAGTAGTGATACCAGGAGGGTAAAGGTAAGGTGGGAGCAAAAAGGGGGAACCAATCACAATGAGCTACATATAACCTCCTCCCAAGGGGACGGACAACAGAAAAGTGGGTAAAGGGAGACATCGGTCAGTGTGAGACATGAAAAAATAAATATATAAATCATCAATGGTTCATGAGGGAGGAAAGGTGGGGGAGGGGGAAATGAGCTGATACCAACGACTCAAGTAGAAAGAAAATGTTTTGAAAATGATGATGGCAACATATGTACAATGTGGTTGACACAACGGATGGATGGATGGATTGTGATAAGAGCTGTACAAGCCCCCCAAAAAAATGATTTAAAAAGAGCAAAGACACAAAGACCTTTTCTCAGAGCCCTGGGACGGAAAGCCTCCCCAAATTAAACTTCGAGCCTCTTAAACTGTTCAAGAAATCACCTGTGGTATTCTTTTCTTAATTGTAGCAATACGTAACTACGACAGGCTGGCATGAGCAGTTTATTATCTTTTGAACAGATACATGATCAAGTTCCTCTCTAGAAAGGTGGCAGCAATTTACAATCCCATCTAAAGTGTACGAGTGTTACTGTTTCATTGAGCTGGTGCCATCTTTTGATGCTGATCGTTGCTTTAAAATTCTTTGTTCACTCAGAGGAGGGGAGATATGATATACTTACCTCGTTTGCAATTGCCTAACTACTTGTGAGGCTGTCTATTGTTCACCTCGTAATCAAATGACCTTTGCTTTTGGAGCCGGTTTACACACTGTAAGCCCTTTTCTATTAGGATTTCAGTATTTGTTTGTAGAAACGTGTTCTAAAGGCAGAAACACGTCTGAAAACAATTTTACAACTAGTTCAATGCTTACTTAATCATCTTTCTCATTAGGAGGTAAAGAAAAGGGGGGTGGGGAATCCTGATTCTAAGTCCAGAGAAGAGAACAGTGAATTAAGGAGGCACACTGGTTTAGTGCTTGGCTGTTAACCACAAGGTCAGCAGTTCGAACCCACCAGACGGAAGGAGGGAGACTGGCAGTCCACACAGCCTTGAAAACCCTCTAAGGCAGGATGACTCTGCTTTAGAGGGGTCCCGGTAAATATGAATCTACTGGACGGCAACACAGGTTTTTGTTTTCCCTTACAGCATTCATGGCTAAAAATAAAGAACAGCCTGTAAGAGTCTTGAAGTGAATGTCCCCTGTTATGAATTAACATAAATACTTCATGGTCAACTTATAAATCCATAATCTATTCTCTCCAAAGTGGAACTGCTCCTGGGGCTTTCCAAGACATACATCTTTACGAGAATAGTAAGCCTCCTCTGTCTCTCACAGAGGGACTGCTGGTTTCAGACTGGTGACCTTGCGATTACCAGCCCAACTGGTAACCCAGAATGCCACCAGGGCTCCTTCCTACTTTCTACCGGAAGGCAAGTGCTTCCTACCAGACTTTAACCTTTCGGCTTGAAAACCATGTTACCTTGAGGCGAAGGAAGGAGGTGAATTCTAAAAAGTACTTAGAAGCTTGTTTGCTTATGAAAGTGAAAAAAAATAAAAATAAAAAAGAACAAAAACAGCCGCTTGTATGGTGTTGTCTAGGAAGGCAGGCCACGAGGCTATTCAGAGGACTGTTAGGTTCAGGGAGGATTTGCTCGTGGGAGGGGCCCTAGTTACATAATGCCAAGACAGGGGTCAGTCAAGGGACAGCACTCCTAACATGCCCCAGCTAAAGAAAAAGCTATCATTCTTATGTGTTTAATTTTAAACAGAACACTGGGGAAATACTGACTTGGATTGCTGAACAGACCTCAGAAAGCCACAGAGACAGGTTTAAAAGACATCTAAGCGGGAGGGTGGGGAGGGGGGCTTCAGAAAGTTTGTAGGAAGTTTCTTCTTAGTACAATTTTCCAAGAATTCCTGAACCCTCCTTGTACTTAAACACATTTTAAGACCACCCGCATAGACAAAGAAGCTCTTGCGCTTGAAAAGGAAATGAGGTGCCATGTTTTACAGCATTACCAACTTACCATCGTACTGCAAAAATCCGTTTTTATCTGTCTCTATCTCAGACTCTGGCTAGGAGGGAAACAACAAAGTGCCAGTCAAAACCAGTGTACAGCGGGACTACGATTACACACTAAAGGGGTGCTAAGGGTTGGATGATGGTGACACATAAACTCCAACTATAAGCAGCAGCTCCTGGTGCGACTAGCTTATGAGCAACACCGTCACGTGGCGCTGGCTTGGAGATCAAGGGTCATCACTTAGCATACACACCCTTTGCACTCAGTTTAACCAGCTTTGCTAATAGAAGGCTCTTGGGGCCAAGTACACTACCTGGGAGGCTTTATAAATACCTTAAAGAAATCATCCTGGGAAATGACTCTGCAGTTTGTGAGGCATTTCTGCAAATTCTTAGCCAATGTTGTCTTCCCACCGTTGGTCACGCTGAACCAAAGGCAAGAGAAACAAGAGCCATGCAGGAAGGTGAATTACGACAATCATGAACAAAACGCGCAGGATGTGTGACAGCAAGCCCAGGGAAAATGACGAGCTGAGAAAAGTACCTCTTCAGCAGTGCCTGCTTGCTCGGTGGGCAAAAGCATGGGCCTACCCATGTCTGCGGTGGTGACGTGGCAGAAGGAAGGAGGGATCACTGGAGGAGAAAGTAGTCAGTTTTCACTGGGCAAGTGCACCGGGGAGAACTACACAATGCGGATACTGTGTTGGAAGCAAAAGGGTATCTGTTTGCAGCAAAATATTAATTCATAGCTCACTTTAATGGGAACAGTAGGAGCGATGCTTTAGTGCAAGCACATGAAGTTACAGGGAGTCCTGGTGCTGTAGTGCTTACACCCTGGGCTGCTAACTACAAGATCAGCAGTTTGAAATCACTAGCTGCTCCTTGGGAAAAATGATGACGCCGTCTACACTCTTATGAAGTTATTAAGATTTACATTCTCAGAAGCCCACAAGAACAGTTCTACTTGGACCTACATAGGGTTGTTACGTTGGAATCAATGGGATGTGATGGGTTTTATATAACATTACAAATGGTTGTCAGTGATTTTTTTTCAATGCACAAAATTAAGGTGTGGCTTCTTATAAGCCACCTACCATGGATTCACATCTTGTCCAGTATGCACCATGCCCAACCCCCTCATAACCCCACTTGTATTCTCAGAAGGTCAAGGTTTACTCTCAGAAATCCTAAGGCACAGTTCTACTCCAGTCTGTAGAGTAGCTCTGTGTCAGAACCCACTTGACAGCAGAGGGTGGTGTGTGTGGGGCCTCTGGTGGCTTATCACACCACATCACATCATATCACATCACATCACACCACACCACACCACATCACATCACATCACACCACATCACATCACACCACACCACATCACATCACATCACATCACATCACATCACATCACATCACATCACATCACGTTAGCTGTCAGTGACACGGCGAAGAGGACCCTGGTAGATTCCTCTCTGCATCTAAGTTCTCCAGCCCCCAGCCCCACACAGAGCACACAGAAGGTACTTTTCTACCCAGAGTTTGTTGGATCTGGGGTTTAAGCACCAGATCAGGTGTCTGCTTCCATAAAGATTTACAGCCTCAGAAATCCTTTGTGGAGTTACTATGAGACGGACAGGGCTCTGGCAGTGGGTGAGCACCAACAAACATGATTCTCTTCAGAAAGAGAGGCGTCCTTATCTATGATAATGATGGCATACATCATAGGTGGGTGTAAACCTATTTTTTTTCTATGGTTATCTTACAAAAGATAAGGATACACACACACACAGAACAAAGAGAAATGCCATTGCTGACAGAGGAAGATGCAGCTGCACATCTCAGAACACCAGAGCTGTTGCCAGAAGAGAGAAGCGGTGATAAAGAGCTATAGAAGGACCATTCTCCATAGCTATACCCTGATTTTGAATTCCAGACCCCTTGAAAGCCATCACTTGTGATATGTTTTATTATGGCAGCTCTAGGTAATTATTAGAGTTATGACTAGTACCCAGTGTACCTGGCACATAAGCATGAGGTCTAGTTCTAGGCAGAGGGTACTATTGTATTATGAAATGAGGGAAATTTTACACATGCAGAGTGAAAACTGGCTGGGATTCTGCAGTGGGCTTTACAAACCTGCCTCCCTAAGCTCTACCCTTTTCTTTGAGGTCTAATTGTGATTGGCCCCAATGTCAATCCGATTAACTCACCACACCACCTTGGCTGTCACTTACAAACCTAGAATTCAAATTTAGTTCTGACAATCCCTAAACCCTGCTCAGCAGGTGAAAGAATTGAACATGTTTTAAGATCAATCTAATAGAAGCGAGTAGGAAAGATGAGTAGGAGACTTGAACGAGGGGGTGAGTACTCAAATGAGGATGGTGGCAATGAGCGTGGATGGACAAGATACGTGCAATGAAGTAAGACTGGGTGGATTTGGCTCTGATCGGCTGAAAGGAAAGGCAGAGCTCTGACACTAGACCCATTTTATTGACTATGAGCCGAGCAAGGAGAACAGGAACAAAATACAGTCACACCTGGATCTCCCAAAGGTGACAAACTTTTGAAGTCTCAACCATTTCAATAATTCAAACCTCACTGCCACTGAGCGGTTCCAGTGCATAGTGATTCCATGAGCACAGGGCGGAACTGCTGCTGTAGATTTCCAAGACTGAAAATCCTCTCAGGATTAGAAATCCATGTCTTTCTCCCTTGGTAAAGCTGGTGGTTTTCAACTGCTCTCCTTGTAGTTAGCCTCCACACGCAGAACCGCCACACTGCCAGGGCGCCTACACTGATAATTAGGCCACGGATAATGTGAATGCAGGGTCTTGGGTGTCGAAAATGGTTTGCACTTGACTATAAACGGAAAGGCTGGCGGTTCAAACCAGTACTGTGGATGCAAAGGCCAAATGCCTACCCGCTACCATTGAGCCAATCCCAACTCAAAGACCTTCTACAGTGTTTCTGAGACTTGCCTGTAAGAATTCTGGTAAATCATTAGGGGAGCTGACAGCCTCATTTTCCTCCAGGGAGCAGCTGGTGGGTTTGCACCACAACCTTGCCACTAGCAGTGCAATGCTTAACAGCCTTACCAGGGCTTCTTACTGTGGAAGAAAAACCAAACCCAACTCACTGCCATTGAGCCGATTCTGCCTCAAGGAGGCTGGAGCACAGGGTAGAGCGGCTCCTACAGGCTTCTGAGACTACAACTCTTTATAGGAGCAAAAGCTTCTTTCTCCTACAGAGCAGCTGGTGGTTTTGAACGGCTCACCTTGAGGATTGCAGGCCACTGTGTGACCACTACACTGCCAGGGAGAAAGGCCTGGTGAATCGCTTAAAATGATAGCCATTACAGTAAACCATGGGGCATAGTTCTACCATGCAACACACATGGGGTCGCCATGAGCTGAAACAGACTTCATGGCAACGTGTCTGGCCTTTGGCTGGAATGTGAATGCACCCAGAAAGGGGAACCATTGAGGAGCAAAACAAAGGATGTCCTTCTTCATTGCTGCAATGTCTTATTTGCAGAGCTGTGCCTCATACCATGGGGTTGAGAGGGACCAGGTAATTCACAACACTTTTGAAAGGGAAAGGGGCATGATGAATAATTATGCAAGGTTAACAAGGTCTAGTTCAGGTAACCTAGGACATAGGGTTCCCTAAGGATGGGGGAAAGAAGCGAGGTCAAGTTGTTCTATATTTCATGTGCCCACAGAGGGGCCTCACAGGGCAGACCCGATGGATTTTCTCCTCCATCTTGCTGGAGGAGCACCCAGATGGGGAGGCATAAGTCAGCTCAAGCCATAGCAGTGTCAGGCACGGGCCCCGGTTTTAGCTCCTGAAAATAAATGCACAACTCTCTGTTTATATATATCTATATAAATGGGTATTTCTGTGTATAGAAACTCTTCCATTTCTGATTGGTGGCTCCATAACCAGATGCCACTGCTTGGTGTATTTCCCAGTGGCCTGCTCAACCCTGCTGCTCCCTTTCCCCCAGCCATGTTCACGCACAGCAGCCACGTGCATAGCTGAGTGTCTTCACCGCTGTTTACAGAAGACTTACCCACCGATTCCAATGACAAACGTTTTCATAATTGTCTTGGAAATCACACCTCCCTCAAATGCCCTACAAAAACAAACAAATAAAAATTTAAAGTTGCCTTCTGAGATGATATCTAAAGTGGTAGAATAAAGAATGGTTAAGTTAGGAAGGCCATGGGAGGCTGGGGAGGGGGGGACAGGGACGAGAGTCGTCTTTCGCTTATCACATTGCTGGATCATCAACACGCCATGGAAGTCTTCTGCCCCCTGGTTTCTGTCACACTCTTCCTGCGAGTGTCAACAACGGTTGCATGAACAGGATGTACCAACCAAGGTCAGGTGGGCTGAAAGAGCCACGGCCAAGCATGTGCCTTTGAATGTGTCTGTTTCAAGGAGAAGGAAGCGTTGCTAGGCCACAGCATGGCCCAGAGTTTGACACTCCCCTGAGCCAGGTCCCATTTCATCTGCAAGACTCAATCACCTGGTTGTGACCCATTGCTCCTGGCGCTGGTGAACGTTCCGAGTTGACGTCTCTTTGTCCGCTTCTGAAGGAAGTAGAAAGTCACTGCTGGTCAGAGATAAAACCAAAATGCCACACCCACTGCCATCGAGTCCATTCTGACTCGTAGCGGCCCACAGGACAGGGTAGAACTGCCCTTCCGGAGGCAGTTTCTGAGACTGTAAATCATTATGGAAGAAGAACGTCTTAACGACATTTCTCCCAAGCAGTGGCTGGGGGAGCAGAAATGCTGACATTGCAGTTAGCAGCCAATGTGTAACCCATACTCCACCAGTGCTACTTATACCCAGGCCAGCGTGGGCACACTTTTTTCCGAAATAGATCAGACATGTAGGTAATGTTATGTTGTCGTCAGGTGCTGTCTACTTGTTTCTATGCCATACTATACACAACAGAATAAAGCACTGCTCAGTCTGGTACCTAGCTCATAGGTTTGAACCCATTGTTGTAGCCACTGTGCCAATCCATGACCTTGAGGGTTTTCCTTATTTTCTCTGGCCCTCTACACCAACCATGATGTCCTTCTCCGGGGGTTGATGCCTCCTTAGATGTCCAGTGTACATGAGACCGTCCTTGCTTCTAAGCAGCATTCCAGCTGGATTTCTTCCAACACATAGCATTTGTTTGTGCTTCCTGCAGTGCACAGTAGATTTAAAATTCTTCATCAATGTGTTGCATTAAGTAGCATTCCCTATTTTATATCTAGGTCCTAATAGCCACTGCAATGGCTACACAACACTCACGGACAAAATTCATGATTCAAGTCGTTTATTCACGAAGTTAACAAATTGTAATGCCAGTGAGAAATGCTCAGGGTTGAGTGGTTTATCAGGACATGTTGCAAAGTTCTTTCAGGGCTGCTAATAAATGCCCAAGGGGGCATACCACTATGCTGTAAGCCTTAACCCAGAAGCTCCCTAGGGCCAGCAAACCTAGCTCCCTGAATTAAGTGCCCAGAGGCACCCCACTCCACAAGGCAGCCTCCTGCAGCACAAAAACAGGCAGCTCGACTTGCTCTGTGGGTTGGGAAGTCCACCACTCTGCTCCAGGTTCGGCCACTGCTCCTCTGATGATAACGGCTGTCTTCTGGATCCAGGGGTTCACTGTGCCGGGATCTCGGGTCCAGAGGAGCTTGCTGGTCATTCTTACTGGTTTTGAGGGCTCATTTTTTACACACAGCAGGCTGGCACTCTGGGGAATCCTGTTCACCTGACTCAGGTGAATACTATCAGTACCTTTTTACCAGCTATGCAGGACAAGGCCAATCGGTGAGAGTTTGAGACTTAGGCTAAAAAAGCAGCACTAAATGATTTACTGCCCGTGCAACCAACACGTTAATTCAAATGTGTCAATTCCTTTTCAGTCTTCCGTATTCATCCCCCAGCTTTTGCATTCACACGAGGCCATGCGTGTTCACATTAGAAATACATGCCATGTCCTGAGTCAGGCTTCCTACAGTGACATCTTGGCTTTGTACCGTTTACAGAGGTCTGTTACCGGCTTTGGACCATGCGATCTGTAGTTTGATTTCTTGACTGCTGCTTCCTGGGGAGTTGATTGTGGATCCAAGTAAAAGGACATCCTTGGGAGCTTCAACTTTTTCATTGTTTATCATACTGTTGCTGATCGGTTCAGTAGTGAGGATTCTTGTGTCTTTTATGTTGAGGTCCCCTATATTCTGTTAGGGAAAGGACCACCGCGTGACCCCTAGAGTTTCAGTTGGTGAATTTTCAGAAGTAGATCACTAAGCCTTGTTAACCTCAAGGTCTGCAATTTGCATCTCGGACACTCACAGTTCTACCTCGTCCTATTGGGTCGCTGTGAGGTGGTGTAGACTCAGTGGCAGCTGGTTTGGTTTAGTTCTACTCCCTTGATAGGGCAGCTGATTCCGTGCAACTCATTCAACTTTGCTCCCTTTTGGTAAACACGGAAATCTCCCCAGGCTGCCACGGAGATAAATCACTGTTACCTTTTATCAGAAACATTGGCGCTCCCTTTTATGTGGGTTTTGATCTAAACGGAAGCTTATTTTCAGTTTTTCTTTCCCCAGATATATACAATTGAAGAGTGTGATTTTAGAAATATGCAGACTACTTTCCTTTTCCGTTCAGCCCTTCCTCTAGTGGAGATTCCAGGGCCTGGCCAGGGATCTACAACGTGCCAGACAGGAAGCATTTTTCAGATTTGAGGCAGCCACTGCACACCGCCTTGATGATGTAGTGGCAACCACAGGCTAGACATGTAAGCAAAGGGGCATGGCTGGATTCCACTACAACTTTAGGGACCCACGAGTTTGAATTTCACATCATTTCCACGTGTCACAAAATCGTCTTTTGTGTTCTTTTCAACAACTTAAAAATGAAAAACAACCCCAAAACATTCTAATCCTTACTTGTTCCACTCCAGGGCTAGAGGCATGAGACTGCACTCGTGGAGATGAACTTGTTTGTGACACCGTCCCTGGTGACTTCTCCGGTCTCTTGGACGTAGGTAGGTAGCACTTCCAACTTAAGGATTATAAGAGGCATTAGAGCCCTGCGCCGTTGTTAGGAAAAATCCCCCCTGGGCGGGATATTTATGAGGCCGTTTGCTTGGTAAGAGTCTCAAGCGGGTATACAAGATCCAACCCGGTTCCAGAACAGGAACACCCCGGAAATCTCTCCAAGGCCCAGCAAGGAGGCACGAGGCGGCAGGCCAGGGTCAAGCAGGTACTCACTCACCTGACGCCAGTTTGAGTTCTCCCAAGCGGCGGGGGCGATTACCAAGCACGCGCTTGACACTAACCCTCGGCTAAGGAGAGGTGGAGAGCTCCTCTCCCACGCCCTGCAGGTGACTGACAGGGGGTCCCGGAGGTGACGTCCCCTCCGGCCCGGCAGGTAGC